AATCTGTCGTAGCTGTGGGGAAGACGAAGAGAGTGCCTCTCATCTATTGTGTTTTTGGCCAGCTCACGTACGGCGGCGGCTTAATACTTGTGGAGCCCCTTTTCTTGAGAACCTGGACCAGTTACAGGGCCTAACACTAAATAGCATTTTATCCTTCGCCAAATGTTCTAAGTGGTTTTAAGCCATGAGTTTTCTTCCATATATACGGTAACACAATGGGTCATTAGGCCTAAGTGGATCCACTAGGGGTCGCAGGTATAACCTAACCTAACCTAATAATCATTTTCTCATTCACTTTAACTATTCTGCGTACTTGATCGAATTGATTTCAATAATAATGTGTAATAACATTATTCAATAATGTTTTAACAAATGAGAAGAAATCTGCTTGAATAAGTGTGTAGGTACCAATCTAATCTGTACGGGGCTGAACCAAAATTAACCGATATATTTTTTCTGTACAATTCCAGTTTTTGCCTCATCAAAAACATCAATTTTTTTGGCTCAATTCCAATTCGAAGTTTTACATAAATACTTATGCCAGACGAGATGTAGGATCCATCTATACCCGGTTGTTTGTGTTTTAATTATAGCTTTAAAAGGAGTATAAGGAAGAGAAATATATAGCTGTCTAACGTACCACCTGATTATTTTTATATTTTAATACGAAAAATGTATATTTTGCCTATTTTGAACTAAACTGAATTTCAAAACTGATTTTAGGAATTATATTACTTATTTTGTTTATATTTTATGTGTCCGATATTAATATCATTACGTGCAAACTACAATATTTTCAATGGTTTTATTTGAAAAAAGCAATATTTTAATAAAAAAAATCATCTTAAAGTAAGGTTAAATATAATATCTTGGTTATATTGTATCAAATCAGTTATTGGTTTTGGCAACTCTTATTTAGCCTTGAATGTTTGACAGCTGCTTTTCTTAAAGCCAGGCCTAAATAAATAAGTCGAGGAACATTTGGAATTTAAGTATGGCATTTACAAAGATAGATAGTGTATATAAAAAATGTACTTTACAAGAACAAGTAAGTATCAGTATAAGTTATTATTTAAATGATTAAAACGTAATCTCCCAGTTAAATATCCTGAACAATTATAATTTCATTCCATATAATTGTATTTATATTACAGATTAGAAAAATTGAAGAGGACTTGCTATTATTAAACAGTAGAGTGAGAGGATTAGAGGATTTGTTGGATAATCCAACTGTTAGTGAAAGTTGTCGTTTGGCAATGGAGGAAGAATTACTTTCTCTTAAAATCAAAATGGAAGAGCATTCAAAATATGTAAAAGAACTTCATAAGGACAACTCAAAAAAACTAATGGGTGTTACGACTTTTGTATTTCTAAGCTTTTTAATTTTTGGTTGCTATCGTTTAATTACCAACTAACTAAAAATCATACAAAATTTGAATTATTTAATATGTATTCACGATATATTTACTGTGTACAATAAAAACTTTTATTACTTCAAATTGTTTATTCTGAAATTAATGGTAGCTATAAACTTAACGTCTACTAGTAGGTCTTCCTCTACCACGACCGCGGGGTCCACCACGTCCACGAGTACCGCGACCTCTGCCCCGATTTCCTGCACGACCACTGTCTTTCTTTTTCGTTTTCGATTTTGGTGTGTCATCAATCAAAAGTGTTTCCAAAGGTAAACTGTCAGGCAATATGAAATATCTTATATTGTTACCACGGACACTTAATGATTCAAGTTGAACAGGATCTTTATTTTTAATAGTCATTTTTACCGACTTTAAATGTGTATTCATTGCAACGTCCACTCCTGCGATTGTGCCATGAATTTGTGTACCATTTTTAAGCTCAATGGTCACAGTTTCGTGACTCAATTTCATCAAGAACCTGTAAAGAAAAATCATGCTAAGTTAAGACCAAATTTTGAACAAAAAGAATAAAAGTTTTATTTGTTTATATTCTTGATTCTTACGTAAACCACCACGTATTATAATTTAGAACGAAATAATTTATTGTAAATTAGAACCCGCAAATTGTTCTGCTTGCACTTGCAAAATATGTTTCAAGCAAAAATCTTATTCGAATTGAATCAAAAACAAAATCAAACAAACAATATATAGCGCCATGCCGGAGAACATGTGCCAGTTGTTTATATATTTAGTATGTTATTTTTTAGTACAGAATTCGTGTTATAATAAAAAAAAATATAAAAATAAGAGCTTTATCAAATATATTTACCTTACAAGCTTCATTTTCTAAATCCAATTTGGTTAGACGCCGGCAAACTTGATACTAAACTACACGAACATCTCGATTGTCAAAACGATTGAATGTGAGTACGGGACAAGGTGTGTACAAAACAATATTTAAAAAGATTGACAGTAGCAAATCACTCTCAAAGGTTATGATATATTCGTGTGCACGTGCGATTTTAATATTTTCAATATATTATTGTTTTTCATTTTATTTAAAAATCAGTAGACTCTTTTAGATTTAAGCAAAGTACTCACATCTATTTCGCACAAAAAACACCATATATAAAATCTTTTCATGAAATTTTGACATTGACATTGAATACAAAAATAAAACGTAATACTACGTTTACATTGTGAGATTAAGAAAACGAGATTAAATTAATCTGCATTTTTAATCTCCACTGTTCACATTACACATTAGAGATTAATTTTGACGTTTCTCTTGTTTGTGTGATTGATAAAAATTTCAGTAGCAATAATAAAAAAAAGGAGTATAAATTGTTGTTGTTGTTGTTTTGGTTAGAGTTAGTGCTATTGCGCACTTTTACTCGTTTGTGACTGATGGTGGGGGAGCTTATCCCTGCCCCACACTAAGCTTTTACTATACTAGAATTATTATTATTTATTTATCTTTCAATTGATGACGGACTGTAGATCATCATATCTTTCTGTGCGTTTTGAGATGGACTTAAGGTTTGTTAGGGCGTGGTTGGGCAACGTATCGACTTTTGTGAACAATTTTAGGGCTCTGTCCTTGATATATTTTTTTACTGAGTCGATGCTTAGATCTCTATGCATGTCTGTTGTTCTAATATACCAAGGAATCTTAATTAGTCTTCTTAAAGCCAGATTTTGCGCTTTGAGCTAAATTATAAGCTCAAATTCAAGTTTGACAGAGAAAATAAATTATCGCATAGTTTAAAAATAAAACGCCGACTTATATGCTAAGTTTATATAAGAATGAAATATTTTGTTGGAATTATTAAATATGAGGGAAACACGCGAAGATTGTGGAGATTTTATATATTGTATATTATATATATAATTGTGTTACAGGAAAGATATGGCTGATTCTGGGAACTTGATATTCCATAGCTGTCACGCAAAAGTGAGGTCCGCTACAGCAGATGTAACGGACTATTTCACCTGCAAAGGGTGGTATTCAGTTGTTCTATTAGCTTTCGTTGATTACAAAAGAAACATGATCAACATAAATGAATAATTGTGCAATATCATTCCTGAGTTTAGATATAGATTTATGTACATTAACAATGAAGCGCCGGGCCGATGTATTGATAACAAAATTTTTGAGAGTTCTTTAAAAAAAATTCTCCAAGAAATAATTATAAAAATATATATGGGATATAGGATTTAATAACAACTTTGTACAAAAAAATTATAATATTAATTTAATATATAGTTTTATAACAAAATTTAACAAATTTTAGTTATAATTATGTATTAAACTATTAATAAACAAATTTAATAAATTTTTAATGTTTGTTTTGAATAGATATTGACATTTCGCTTTAAATTCTAAGTTCGTAAAAAAGTCTACGATATTAAGAAAATTGCAGAGTTGCATAGAGAAATAATTCCATTTCAAAGGAGATTTAAAATTAAGCTCAACCAAAAGGAAATTAACTTTTGTATGGAAAATCTGAGATTAAACAACAAGGTTAGTACTTTAATTACGATTTTTGCTTTAATCTACTTTTAATCACCCAATCCAAACGCTATATAAGTTAACTGCTCTAATGAAGGCAGTGGAAACGTACTTTAAACTTTTTTCAAATAACAGTTACTAACCCACAAGATGAGATAAAGTGTTCACAAGTTCTTAATATTAAGTTTATAATTAGTTTATAATTTATAATTTTAGTTTACAATTTTTAGTTCTTAATCTGAATATTTGGTTCTGAACTTGGATAAAATCTAAAATTATAAATTCTTATCTGCGTATCATTATATTATTGTATTCTAATGTCAAATTGGAATCAACAATTCTTTATATTATTTTATAGCACAATATTTTGGTGTAATTATTATTTACACGAAATTGGCAAATGAATTAACAGAAAAGCTGATTTTAGTAAGAATTTAAACGTTTGCTAATTGAAATTTAAACAAATTTGAGTTGCTTAAATTGAAGTAGTTTCATGAGCGGCCTTATGCATATTTCGTTGGAGGTACTTTTGGGTATACGGTACACACATGCATAATGTCTTAGAAGTTACGATATTCTAAGTCCTAATGTCTTAAAAGTTATCGTAGTTACGATATTTTCGACATATATTAATACTAAAATGTGCCTGTAAATTGTTCAATACTGTCGTTCCACATGTGTTCGTGTGTAGTAAATACTTTAATTTGAATTTATTTTTATTTACAATACGCTTTCAATATGTCAGATGATTATAAGTGAGTTTAAAAATATATGACATTGAAGCTAATTTATCGTAGTTACGTAGTTAATCAATTACAAATATTTTTAGGCTGATTTATCCCATTAAATCTTTCAAAGATGCCTTAGACGATAACGTTCGGTACGATGGTAGAAAGTTTAATGCCTACAGACCTTTAACTATTACGACGGGTTCTTTTACTAATGCCAAAGGTTCTAGTTGCGTTAAGATTGGGAATACAAACATTGCTTGTGGTGTTCGTGCAGAATTTGCTAAACCGAATCCTGGATCACCAAGCAAAGGCTATGTTGTCTCAAATGTGGACATGTCATTTTTGTCGACTTCTGCTAAACCAAAACTGAGGATGACATCAGATATGATTAATAGTTTAATATACAACATTCTTGTAGACCAGTCTGTAATAAAACTAGAACAATTGTGTATTCAACGAAAAAAGCTGGTATGGGTTTTATTTATAGATATAATTTGCTTGGAAATTGATGGTGGATTGCTGTCTACTGCAATGATAGCTTGTATTGCTGCCCTTAAAGATTTAAAATTACCAAAGGTTATATATGACACAGATACTGACAAAATTGAAATTGGTGATGACTTTCAAAAGCTGTCATTAGGGAGATCTCCTACATTAAGCACATACAGTATATTTGAAGAGTAAGTATTAAATCTGTAAAAGTTTGTTGATCTTTAAATCATAGTACAATTTCAAATCTAAAAATACTATTGCTATGTACATATAGTTTTAAATTTATCTTTTTATTTTAGAAAAGTTTTAATGGACCCATCAGCCGAGGAGGAACACATCGCACACTCACAGGTTGCAATAGGTGTTGTCAATGATTCAATTGGGTTATTTATTAAGAGCGGAGGGGAACCTGTGCACATTGATCAATTAAATAGTTGCATCGTTGATGCAGCACGAAGAGATGTCGAAGTAACCAGTATTATCAACACCGTTACGAATGATACTTAATTGCAAATATATTTAAAGTTAAAACATAAACTTTGTAACATTTAAGTTTGATAACAAAACTATATAAAATATTTTTCTAAATTTCAAAGTTACCTAAAAATGTATGTCAACTATACTGGACACGTTTGGAACTTGGAAATGTGGAATTGCTTTTCAAGTATAAACACAAAAAACATTCAAATATAAAAAACAATTAAAATTAATATGAATTTCCCAAACTTGTGGTATCAGTGTTAAAAATGCAGTAATGAGGTGATATCTTTCGGGACTAAGAGGTTAAAATAAATATTCTTATGGGATTTATTTAATTATTTTTTGATTTATCCTCATTTTATGTTATAATACATAAAAATAAGTGGAAAATAATATCAGTTAAATAGTAGCCATCGTTTTGCTTTTAAAATAATTCAAAATGATGTCCTTTGACCAAAAATTAATCCAAAATAAAAGATGTGATGCATTCCTTATTTTTGAGGAATGCCGAGCTGGTATTGAATTTTAGTAGAGTCAACCATTTTGAGAAACTTTCTCCCTATAGTCTATTTTTTTTTTATTTTTTTGAGAATTAAGTAGAAATTGATTACGCTAACAAAAAATTACAATGGCTAATTAGCGCTAAGTAGTATATGATTGCACAAAGAATAAGTGACGTCGTTACAAAGTTGCTTTTTGGTTCCTCTAGATGTACCAAATTTGGTCTTTAATTCAATAGATTGGCAGGACTCTAAAAACACATTGGTTTCCTATAGGTGAACAGAAAGAACGTTAATCCTCATATGAGTGATGCAATTTCTGATTTACAATCACAATTATTACGATAATATCAGAAACACAAAAGAAGCCACAGTTATGATAATAGAACAGTTTAAAATATTTAATATGGGTTTACTTAAAAATTGATTTCTCAAATATTATGAGTTAAGAAAAACATATCTCATGATGCTGAAAATATCCACCATTTTGACAGAAGGGACCTGGATAAAATTTTAAGTAAATATTCATATATTTTTAATCTCTTAATTCTTCTTTTTTAGGTGCAATCATATTATGCAACTGTCATTTTCATCGATTGTTGATATGGTGGGTGCTGTTAATTTCTGAGGTAATTTTCATAGATTGTTGATATGGAGGGTACGACATGTTAATTTCTTATTTGAAAATTAAAATATATTCGATTTTGAGGACTTTTATGAACATTGAATCATTTTCAAAAATTTATAAAACATAGCGGTATTATGTTGAAAAAATGCCAAGTGATGAAGATTAGAGTAGTTTATTTCCTTGCCTTCGTATATTGATCTTGCCTTTTAGTGTTTCGTAAAAGAGAAACCCTAAGTAAAGTTACTAAGAAATTTAACTTTTTTGGGTTTAGATTTTGAAGATGGTACATCTAGAGAATATTGTCGCCTCGTTATGAGTTTCTATTTATTATTTACAGAAACAGTTCTCAGGACCTGTCAATTAGGACTTGTAAATTTCAAATAATTAATTATGTAAAGTATTTTTGCATATCTCGAGTAGTCTCTTATCTATTGGGCGGTTTTTGTATATTCAACGAAACAAGATCAGGCCATTAAGGGGAGGTAGGGGAAGTAATTTTATTTATAAAATTCATAAAATTGCGAAGAAGAAAACATTGACCCGAGCAGACTTCTGCCAAGCTCTCACAAGACTGTGTAGTAACTGGATGATCCCAGTTATTCGGAAGTTGTCTTTCAAAGACGTTTATAAATAATTCAAATCTCATAATATCAAATAAATTCTCTTTGCTCAAAGCCTTGTAGTCTGTTGGCAAAAAACTTTTTATCAGAATAGTGATTTTTTGAATAGAATTTTACATTTAATTAAGGCTAGACATTTTTAGTTTTTTTATATAGTGAACAGTGTGAACGTTGGCCTTAGGGTGGCTCACACTGGACTGTAATGCCAAATAGGAAAGAGAAAATGTATTATATTTAATAAAATATTTGTATTGCTTTGTTGCAGCATTCCTATATTAGATATATTAAGAAGATGTGAGTATCTATCCAGTAGCTTAGATTTCTTGCACGTTCTAATATTTACAGTTGATATATGTAAAGGAAAAGTTGTATGTAGGTATACACAGAATAGTTGGACAATCTCCAAAATAATAACGGAATTTGCTTTTAAGCATTTTATTAAAAAATTTAAATTTTGATATGACGATATTTATTTCATTTTTACATAATAATATAATTTCTTAATATTAACACAATACAATAATTTACGTCTATAATTCATTTTACTAGTACTTGTAAGTAATTTAATTTATTAAAATTAATTTTAAAATTGTATTTTCGTTTAAAAATATTTAAAATTGTATACTCGTAATATTACTTATTTTTAATACATATTAATTCGTTAATTTTTTATAAAATTTATTACTAGTTTAGGATACTGCAGAATATTTATGGCAAATATGAATATATTAATGTCGTCTGAATATAGTGAACAGAAAACTAAAGAAAATTTTTGTTAATTCTAATTAATTTATTATAAGGGAATATATATTAAATATTCAGTATAAAATAATTTTGTCATGATATAATAGAAGAAAATAATAAACACATTTTTATTTTTTAGTGTGAAATTAGGTAGTTTGGAATTTTTTATTATTCACACAATGACTCTGCAGCTAAGTAATATTTTTTTTTGTTACATATTAATTTTACCTTAGCAATAATAAATTTTATTTATAAATTTTTTATGATTTGTATTAATTGGTTTTGGAAGAAAATAATTGTATATTATTTATTATTATTATTATTATTATTATTATTTTTATTCATGATAATGCGAATTTGCGTTTATTTCTATTGACTGTAATTGTGTGTAATATTCTCTTAAATTTTTAAAAACGTTCTATGTACAAAGTTTTTGTGGGGAATATATTAAATATAGCTACTATATAATATTCATATTAGTTTAGCTCAGGGTATTCGAAAATTATT